AAAAGAGTAGCAATATTGACCCAAACATCGCACAAACTCCCATGTCAACAATCAACGATTAAGTAACCAATTAGGACTAGCATGTCTGAAAGTGCAAGGAAAAAAAGGCAGAAACCAAAATAACAATATATAATAGAAGCTTTAAACCTTGGGTAATCCAGTGCTTCCACTTGTATACATAATGACGGCAATATCTGCTGGAAGAGGTAAATCAGCATCAACAGGGTTTTCTCGGCCAAGTTTCTCGACATCCTCAAATGAAGTGATTTGCCATCGACTTTCAACAGATGAGGCACTAGACGGAATCTCGTCATCCAGACATATGATTCGCTTTACCGTGTCTAGTTGTCCACTTATGTGTAGAAGTTTTTTCAGTTCTTTTTGCCCACAAATCACAGTTGTAACTTCTGTCTGGAGAAAAAATAAAATGAAAATTATGTTGGTTATGTAGTAGAACAAAAACTTTGAGGACAAATGACAAACAAACCCTAATGTAGAACGAACATGTCAACACCATCCATGCATTTATTTTCTCTATTTTTTTCTGCTTTCAAACACAGAGAAACCTAACACCAGAAATGCATCTCCAGTCATTGAAAAGCTCCCCCAACTAGGTTGCAACATTTTGGATGAGCTATATGAAAGTCACACTATGAAATTAGAAATATATTGCTTGTGCTCAATACGCTGTTTAAAAATTAAAATCACTAAATAAGTAAATAAACATACATGCCTCTAATCAACAAAAAAAAAGGGTACAGAAAGCAGCCTATTCTGCATAGCATACTGTGCCAAACAACAGGAATGTGTGCGCGAGTCTATGAGAGAGAGAAACAGAGATAGATATATAATTAATAAACATATATATGTATATATACAGAGAGAGGGAGAGAGAGAGAGAGAACCTCATTTAGTGAGTGACATAGAGCCTCCTCCCCAAGAGATGCGTATATGGTAACAACAGTGACATTGCGCCTAAAACAACCCTGATATAAGAAAACATAGTCAGGAAAAAGAAATTTGTGCATAAATTCAACCGCTTCATCATTGCTTACAAACAAAGCCGTTTAAAACTCTAATTAAGCTATAGATTATACAAAATAAAATCACATCATACGTGCAAAAAAATCATGCTCTCAGGAGGTTCAAGGTGAAGCAATAAATGAATATCATGAATGTCAGAAGAATGATTAATTTTATGTAAGAAGGCACGTAAGACATAATTTTATGTAAGAAGAGCGTAAGTCACGCACCTGCAATGCAATAAACCACTCTTCTCTAGTGTCAGCAAAGATTGCCACTCTCTCCTCCCTTTGATGCCCTAGTTGAGCTAAACCGGAAGCAAAGTTGCATACAACTTCAAATGCCTTTCCATATGTTAGCCATTCGTAGTCCCCCAAATGAAGCTTCTCGAAGGATCTTCCGTCCTTTGATACTTCAACCTCCCTTGCAATCAATGCTCGGGTTCCAAGAAGGCATTTATCCTGGAACCGCTTGGATGACTGCTCGAAAAGCTCTGCAAGAGTTGTAACAGTTTCCCATAGTGTTTGAACTGGGGCAGTATACCGATGGTTTCGGATTGCATACCCGGGTTCCCCACCAACATCAACGGCCACACCCCGTTGCTTCGCTTTCTTCGATTTCTGAACTATTATAGTTACTAACAGAGGAATAAACGCACCAACAATGTAAGGACCCATCTTTTCCCAAATGAATATCCAAATTTCAATCCTGAAAATTTAATAAAATTCAGTCAAATTTTATCCACTCACAATTACACTAAAAAAACTTAAAAAATAAAGAAATTTAAACCGTTTTGATTATTCCAAATTTTAATAATTTGCTCACATTTATTTTTCATTTTTCAAATTTATAACCTTCTTTCTACATTGTAAGCAAAGCATGTCATGAACTGAAGCACAAAAGCAGGGGAACGAAATAACAAAACTACTATAAATCGCACATTGCAACAACACATAACAGAGAAGCAGAAACCCAAAAGCAAAAGCATAAAAACAACTTTTTAGAAAAGCAGATTCACCGTGTTAATTGCGCTTTGGAGTACCTTGTTGTTCAAGCCAAAGCCCCAGCAACCGAATTCGACCTTCAACTCATCAGCATTGCAAGAAATGCGAGCAATTGGAGAGCGAAGAGCTGAAGAACTGGGATCGAAACGAGGTCGTTTAGTAGCAGTGAGGGAGGGAAGGCTGAGAGGCGGAGAGATCGAGAGGAAGGGGAGTTGAAGTCTCAGACTTTTCAGACCTACTGAAATAGTCTCTGAAGACTGAACTGGAGTTATTTTGTTTTTTTCTGTTTAGGTTATCGGCGCGGATCGAGTTAATATGGACCGTACGATGTGGGCATTTGTACGACCAGATATGGTGCTTGCGGCCCATATGGGTTTGAACGAAGGCACTCTTCTATGCTCCAATCTTTTGTCTTCTATTTACCCTCTAAATTGGCTCTTTTGTATTTCTAGTTCCGTCAAATCACAATTTGATATAACCACAGCAAGTGGTTCGGTGGTCATGACGCGAACTGCGGCTTTCTAATAAAAAACAAAATGTGGGGGGTTTCGAGTTCGATGCTCCGAGCTAATAAGTTTGTTTGAATGTGGCCACAGGTATGGTGAAATTCCTTATAGCCTCTCCGGATCCGGAATGAAGAAATTTATATACACACACATACACATATATAGGTAGGAGTAAATTTTAAAATAACAAGAGAAAGTGTTACGCACATGTTAAATTATGATTAATAAGAATGTAAGAATGGCTATTTTCAAGTTTTGTCTTCCTTTTTACGAGATGACATTTAAACCATCCTAATTAATAGGAAATGAAACTGAACTAAGGTAAAGTGAGACAAACATGCTACTTTAATAAACAAATCTAACTCACATCTCCGCCTTCTATTTTACTATTAGAAAACAAGAACCAGAACGTTGCATTGTTTATAAGTAAGAATTCATTGTTCCTAAGTCCTAATTTTGAATTACAGCCTAACTGATACTAAAATAAAATAGTGTTGAGTTTTACATCGTCTATGAAGAAGAATCACAGAAGAAAGATTCCTTACGGGTAAGATGACACGCGTTTTCGTCAAGAGGAGGAGGGGAGGAAAAAACAAAAAAGGTGTTATTGATTGATTGAGTGTACATTGGTCTAACCACGTGGCGCAACATGAAAGAAGAGGATAAGAAGCAGGATGGTGATGCTTGCTAGGCCACCAAATTAGTTAGGTTTGGAATTAGTTATTAATTCCACCATTGTTAACAACACCGCCACCACCACCCCTCTTAAACTGCCACCACTGTCACACAACCATAACCACAACTGCCACCATCCCTATTGTCGCTGCCCCTGCCACCATTGTTACTTATGCAGCCCAACCACCACACCTCTTTATTGGCACCACCGCCGCCATTTTTTTCATTATATACAATTAAATCATTTTTATTGAAATTTACCAAACGCTTTAACACTGTTTTTCATACTCACAACTATTTAAAAATACAATTTTATCAAACGCTTAACTACTTTATTTTGCAATTGATTTTTCTTAAAGCACAATAGAAGCCTTTAAAAAAATAATAAAATAAAATATAAAAAAAGCGTAGCAACTATGTATAATGTGTCTGTTGTGAAATTGATAACATGTGTGCAGTGAAATATAAAGTAAATAAGACATAATATTTACTAGGTTCGGCAAGTATGCCTACATCCTCAAGGTAGTAGCAATAGTCTCATTATCATACTAGAATTACAAAGTAACGGAAACAATACATTGTATCTCTTTTATAGCAATTGTGAGATGTGCTTAAGGAGGGTTTGGTAGAAACCTCTAAAATTATGTGCATCTCCACCCTCTTTTCTTAACTTTGTCTATGCACGAAAGTGCCACCCACCTTTACAACGGTATCTAATTTCTTCAGGACCAACCTTACTAAGTTGAGAACAGAAAATACGAATCAAAATACTCACGCAAGCTTTTGCCAAACTTCTGAATTCAACTTAATAATTCCAAACCATTCAATTGGTTTTGGATTAATTGTATTGAATACGGTTAGAGACAAGGCTTGAATAATGGTGCTTTGTCTAGGCTCAATGACAAAACCATGCGCAGAACTTAGGCGCATATGTGAGCAATAAATAGCTTATCTCGAATATAAAAGATAAATTAAATTGGATGTGACCATTAATACCAACTCAAATGTACCGCATCTCATTTGACCTGGAAAGTTAAATGAGTTTTGGCAAGAGTACTACTAAGATAAGTGACCTGTGCGAGAAGTCCTCGCATGCTTTCCTTTGTTTTGTGTAAACACATGCCTCATTCACATGAACACATTACGTTACTCTTTTTTGCAAATCACAAATTAACATAAATATAAATAATGAATCAACGTAAGCAAAAACGAAAAACTTATGCACATTTTTCAAATTGTTATTGTCAAGTGAATAACAATGGATACAAGATTTCCATTAACTAGCCAAACTATTCAACGTTGCAGAAACTTCAATGAAACTCTCTTTGGTTTGAACTTTGAACGTTTTTGGCCTTATTGATAAATGACCTACAGAAAAATATCACTGGGTCTTGGTCTTGTAATAAGACAAGTGAAGCCTGAGTCGGATTGTGTGACGAAATTTGTACCATCATGCAATTAGTCCAACCACCATAATTAATTAAATCCTAATGACAGTAACCCATCATTAATATATGGGAGGGATTAGCAATGAAATGAAGCTAACCACAACAAAGGGCCTAGTGGTAAGGGTATGGACTGCGGTTGCCCAATAAACAAAACAATGTGGGAGGTTTTGGGTTTTGATGCTCCGAGCTGGTAAGTCTGCTTAACTGTAGTCACGAACAGAGTGAAATTCTCTAAAAGAAATGGATAACCGTAACTTCTCACATGTTGTCCTCAAAAAAGAAAAAGAAAAAAAAAGGCCAATGAAATGAAGCCCTTATGCAACTATAAATGCAATGTTACCAGTGCCTAGCTAGGATAAGCAGCTCCTTAACAATGGAAGAAATCAATCCATCATACATTCTATCAGAAGAATACAGGCCTAAACACGTAATCACCGAAGGCGAAGGAATCCCGTTGATCGATCTCACTCCGATAACCAACCGAGAAATGTCAGCCGGCTCTAACAGTAAGGCAGTGGAAGAGCTTGCCGCTAAGATAGGGGAGGCTTGCAGGACATGGGGGTTCTTCACGGTGATCAACCATGGCGTGCCTTCGGATATTCGGAGAAGAATTATGGAGGCGTCGAGGAAGTTCTTCGCGCTGCCGCTGGAGGAGAAGAAGAAGGTGAGCAGAGAGGCTCATAACACAGCAGGGTTTCATAACGATGAGCATAGCAAAGACTTCAAGGACTGGAAAGAAGTTTATGATTTTTATGTAAATGATGGGATGCTAATGCCGGCTTCCCATGAACCCGATGACCCCGAAATTGTTCCATGGTACACTCCGTGGCCCGAGAACCTATCCAAGTTCAGGTAAATGTCCCTTACAAAATACTAATGTTATGTAAATTATTAACAATCTGACGACATAACATGTCATGTAGGGAAACATGTGAAGAATATGGTCGAGCATGTGAGAAGTTGTTTTTCAATCTGCTGGAACTGGTAAGCCTCAGCTTAGGCTTACCTCCTACGAGGTTGCATGGATACTTCGAGAATCAGGCAAGCTTTGCCCGGCTCAACTACTACGCTCCGTGCCCCAAACCGGACCTTGTTCTTGGCACCGGTGGACATAGGGACCCCAGCGCTCTTACCGTCCTTGCTCAAGAAGATGTTGAAGGCCTCGATGTGCTGCGAAAATCAGACGGAGCGTGGGTTCGCGTCAAGCCTGTCCCGGATTCCTTTGTCATCAACGTTGGTGATGTTCTTCAGGTACTACATCTCTTGAGCAAATGTTCATCCTGTTAACATTATTCGATTAAAAACTTTGGTTTCTTGGCAGGTATGGAGCAATGATCTTTACGAAAGCGTCGAGCATCGAGCCATGGTGCACGCAGAAACGGAGAGGTATTCGATCCCCATATTTTTTCACCCATCTCACGACATAACAATGAAGCCGTTGGATGAATTGGTCGACGAAAGAAGCCCGGCGAAGTATCCAGAATACAAGGCAGGGAAGTGGTTGAATCTGAGGATGTTTAACAATTACAAGAAACATGGCTTCTATATGCGGATGACTGACTACAAGATTGCTGCTTAGCCGGCGGATTTCTAATCCAACGGCTTATACTATGTATGATTCTCCAAGTTCTAGTACGGATTATATGGTAAAATAAAACGAAAAGTTTGTAAAACCAGACCGTTTATTACACGAGTAAACGTTGTAGTTTTACGTATTTAGGAACTGAATCGTAGCTATTGAGCTCAGAAAGTTCGATATTGTGAGAATGTCGTATGTAAACAAGAGCACACATTGCAAAAGAGATGCAGGCAGCGACCTACGTTGCTATACTACATTAGAATTAGCCCTTCGATCCGATGGCATTTCCACGCTTGATTAAAATGACACGGACATTGTCTTAAATTATCATTCTACTTCTGAAAAGTACAAATATGTGTGAGAATCTGTTCTTGCCTCTCAACTAGCATTAGAAGAACACATACCCGTTTCTAACTACTACAGCGTTTCATTAGCAAGATGACTCGTAGATGTGTATTTACGCATTCAAACTGTTCCGATGTTGCTTGCTTGTTAAGGAAGAATATATACAACACTGACATCTAGAGTGATTACTTACAACGGCAAGGGGTGCAAACTCTGGGATGACCTGCGGGAACTTTCTGCCGGACTGAAAGCACCAGAGATTCCTTGGCATGATCTGCCCCCGACCTCTCAACTAGACTGATTTTTAAGTTAGGGATGTTGCTGTTTTCAAGCACTCAAGTGCAGGATGCAGTATATAGCTCATAATAAAATATAATCATAGCTAAATTAGTTTCTTTTGTCTTCAAGTTCTTCTAGCCACCTGAACAAAGTAATCAAACAAAAATAGCGAAACACATAACCAGGGATATATGTCAATAAACACAAACATACAAGGAATGAAATTTTCTTGGGCTGCAAAGAAACAACGGTACTGCAAAGAAATTATTCGACTTGATATGTCAATGTATAAGAGCAAAATGTAATGATAACAACGAAAATACAATGCAAGCCTTACAGCATCCTCATTTGCATTGGTAACTTCTGATGCCGATGTGTCCACAGAGGCTTTTTTCCCCACCTTTCGTTTCTGCTACATCCAAAACTACAGAGTTAGCATAACATCATTGGAACAGGGCAAAGCATTCAGAGTGCAACTTTCACAATTCACAGGAACACACTGCACGCACAAAAAGACAATAATTTTCACGCTATAGTTGAATGTTGTCAAATGGTATTTAGACTCCTGGGTAGCATGCATTGGAAACTTTAATGAATGATGCATCGGATAAATATGAGACCATATACATCCATAATAAATTTGTATATAATGAACGTTGTACACAAATCCATTCCAAGCTTGTGTCTCATAAGAACACATCCTTTAAAGAAACAACGTAGATTGTTACTCACTATCAACAACGTTGCATCAAACTGTGGGTGTGGTGATGGTTGAACAAGAGGTAGTTCCAACATCTATAGAAAACTAAAACATATATCTAGTTTATGACTAAAACTAACTACATGGAGGTGGAAATGATACTTTCATCCAAGTCCACTTAAGATTTCAACGATATAGCCACTTTTTGAGGGAATGGTATAACCAGTTAAAATTGTAAATGTCAAACAATATAAACTGAAGTTGACATATGCAAGCTAATAAAGCATTCATAGTATTTCACTCTTACCCTTTCCTCCAGTGAAACATCACTTATAGTTTCCCAGCTCTCACTTTCCAAGCATACTAATTTTTATTTTTTTTTATCTTATTTTTTTACTAAGTCAAGGGTATCCCAAAGGCTTCCAAGGAAGCCCGAGGACTAATCCCTCTGGCGCATGTGAAATGCTCCAACTGTGCATTGCAGCACAGTGCCTGGCCACTTTGACAGCTTCGGGGTTCGAACCTAGGCTGGGGAGCAAACCCAACTAGGCAAGAACCATTAGGCCACTTGGAGTGGTTTTCCAAGCATACTAATTGAACGTCGCAGCTACTATCACATGTGATCTGCCAGTATGATGGGAAATTAATCACAATAATTCAGATCAAGCAGTACAGCGATGGTTTTGATAAATACACAACGTATCCAGCTTACAACGCATTAAAGATGAAACAAAAGCAACGAAATTTAATCTCTAAAAACTTTCCACATAGTTTACTGTATCATTGAAATAGTTGTTTAAAAATGGAAATAAAAAATATAGTCATATTTAGTCACCTTGTACGTATTGTTTTGAGTGTTATAACCATCCACTGTACCTGGATAAAAACTGGTAAAGAAAAACAAATATTGTTATAAACAAGGGCTAAAACAATGCTGAAAATCATCTCCTAACAAGGTCTAAAACAATGCTGAAAATCATCTCCTAACTGGGGGAATGCTCACCATTTATCTACTGGAGACAAAAATTTGATCCTTTGCCCAATCAATGCCTCATCCTTCTCACTAATTTCCTACATAATTAATTATAAAATATTTCTAAGGACACAGTAATCTCAAAAATGTAATACAATTTCAAGTGTATTCTCAGAAAGAGCTTATTCTTACTTTCCAGCTGCAAGGGCCCCTTAGCTTCGTTCTGGGGTGATTGGAATGTTCCACGTTAATGTTTCTTTTCACATTAACATTTTCCATCAATCGAATGTTATTTTTTTTCAAATTCTGGACTGAGACATTTGATCCACAGATTGTAGCTACAGAATCACAAGATGAAAGTATTTCTTTTTCCAAAGTAATCCCAGATTTTTTGGATACACCATTCTGGTAATCATTAACAGAATCACTTGGAGAGAGATCTCGTTTTCTCCTACGTCCTCCTGTACTGGTGCCTTGTTTCTCAGCCTTCCGGGGTTCAGCTCCCCCATCACTGGACAAATTAACTATCTTGGAAGATGTTAAGATAAGTTTGTTGTCCTTGAAAACACTGGATTGTGTGCTATCCTCTTGACACTTACGCCCACGTCTAGGAAGAGCACTGGCAGGCTGAAACGTGAAGAAAGAGTTTCCAACAAAATGTTTATAGGAAGAATATATCATTAAGAAAATCATAGGGGCAATATAACTAAAGCTGTAAAGGAAAACTGGAGATACATACCAAAGAGATATTTGATTTAAATATGTCAACTAACCTTTTGAAGAAGTACTCACCAAAACATGATTGATTGAGGCATCTTGAATTGGACTGCACAGAACAGATAATAAAAAGGTGAAATAATGTGGAACAATTAACTAGAAATTTAAATTTCTTCCAGCCAAAAGATAAAGAAAAGAATATCAAATCTTATTGAAAACTGCTCATCACTTTTATTAGAGATACTTACTTTATATAAGGATGATGGTAGAAAAACTTTCCCAGGAGCATGTGATGCGGAGATGCCATTATGATTTGTTAACGTCACAAAAGAGTTCCCAATTTTCTGCCAGAATATGCAGCTTCTGCATAACAAGAAAAACCTCCGTTCCTTAATTAAAAAACATAAACATAAAGTGAAGAGGAGAAAATATCTTCTGAAGGAAAACTCTTACACCAGTTAGTTCAACGTCTATAGCATCCTCAGCCCTCTTAATTGCATGGAAAATGAAAATCAAATACAAGACAGAATCCTTGGTAATATCCAGAGTACCAGCAGCATTACTGGCATTGACGAAAGCCTGCAATAAAACTAACAGTGGACTGCAAAGAGAAACATAATCCAAAGTGTGTCAGCATAGCTGCATTCATATTCAGTACTAGGCAATCTCCAATATTATCTGGATATATTTACATACCTGCAAAACTGAGCATATGCATTTTCATCTTGACAGTCGTCAGGTGGGAAGCCTGTATCATGAGCAAGAATATGGATAAATCTTTTTGTCCAAGTTACTTCTTTTTTTGTCCACGTTTCTTCTCTTTTTGTCTAACTCACTTCCTTTTTTTTTTGTGAGTTTTGGGAACATCCCCATTCATAGGTCCGAGATCCACATCTATGAATTGAAAGGTCTTGCAATCAGTTGTTAGAATCAATAGGTCTTCAAATCTTTCATTTGAAAAAATTGAAACACTTCTTATTGGATGATCATGATACTTCCCAAAAATCAAAATTCTTGATCAATGGAGGAACAATATCACCATTTTTGTTCAATAAGATACCAGAGTGGATGATTGACTCATTCCATACTAGAAATAATCGCAGGAAATCTTTTGATAACATGGATTCCTGTTTCTCAATAATATCCCACGATCAAGACAATTGGCCACCACTATGTATGCTGGAAAATCAGTGTTTAATCCTTCTTGGACTCCAGAGATTTGACGCACTTGAGCTTCTCTACTGTAATCCTTGACAAATTCTGCAATATATTTTGACGACTAAATTGAATGGTATCAGAATACATTTACTTGCTCAAGCATACAGAAATAACTCATAGATAGATACAGCATATTTAGCATACATCATCCTGCAGATCCTTGAGGCAATCTGAGGTGGCCATTGCGAAAGCACTTGCATATCTGCTAGGTATGGCATGCTCCTTCAGTAATTTGTGTGTTTTATCAAGAAGTGATCTTCTCACCAATGATGAGTCATCCTGAAATGTGTAAGAAGGAAAAGAAAAATGACCGTGAACATATAATTAGTGGCAATTCAAGAGTGACAATGAAATCAAATCTGAAGAAACTGAAGAATATATAAATATTACCGGATGCAAGTCAACTAACTGGATTAAGCATTACTGGTGATTGATAGATGCATAACACGCTTATTGCAGTCTCATGCCATCTATTTTTTTAATAAATTTTATAAAGTGCATTTCTTTTACCATTTGTCAATCAGTCTATAAATGGGACAGCTCACTAGAAAAATCAGTGAATCTTATTAAGTTCGCTAAAGACACATTTATACTTTAGCAATAAACTATCATGAGCTCCAGGGACCAGAACCTCAAATTCCATCAGGATTCAGGAATATGTTTCCATTAGCTTTACAGGAAATGAAGTTCGAACAAGAAGTCCACCGGAATAACAGGTAACCAAGAAAAATGAAGGACAACACTAGGATACACAAATCAGAACCAAACATAAATACCTTTGCCCTTAAAATTATAAAGTGAAAAATCTCTGGAGAAATATGGAAATCCCATCTTTGAGCAAGCCGGAGAACAGACTTTGCAGCAGCTAATCTAATACAAGCCTTATCACTTTCACTGCAATAAAAAATAAGTGAAACCAAATGAGTGGTGTTTGAAAATACTTATCACATTCACTGAACACAGATTTTAAAAGCACCAAAAAAAAAAAGCAGAAAACTGTAGCCTTTTTATTCAGTTGTGTGTTGCTCAAAATTGCCATTCACAATAATGAGCATCAGTCAGAGACTCACAATAAAAGCCTAAACAAACAGTTGAGAATCTCCTTTCTGAACGTCAAAGTTTCCAAAGCATCCCTCTTCCCATATTTAGCAGAAGTCTGGAAGCAAAAGAATTGTAACAATAAACTCAACTACTAATGCAGTCATGCTTATGAAAACAAAACCACATTTTTTACTGCTTCATTCAAGCACCACAGAGATTCTAGTCAAAAGCTGAGACGATATCCAAACACATGTAGTATAAGCTAAAAAAAGAGCCCGAGCGCGAGGCAGAGATATATAATTAAATGAGTTTCGTTAATTTGACCTTCAATTCACTTGAGCCAGAACGAAGAATTAAACCCACATAAAAGTTAAGGACAAGCTCATACAGTTTTAAAACTTTCTATTTGATGACAGAATCTGAAATCATACCCTGAGGTGATACCCTCTGCAGTTTCTCCCTTTTGCAGCATTGTGGACAAAATGCCACAGAGCTCATTAATTTGCCGTTTAGTTGTCCTTGAGCTCATTAATTTGCTGTTTGGTGTGAGTTCCCCGGTGTGGCAAGAAGCTCTTGACAAGTGTTTTCAGGCCATATGTCTGCAAAATAAATGTTTAGAGAAACCAATGGAACTATCAAGTAAGTATTTGGTTTGGTGTAGAAAAATGCACTGTGAGGATCGGTGTACTTCTAAGCCCAAGAAGTAGTGTAAAGGACCAAGATCCTTTACTGGAAACTGAGAACTGAGTTGTTTAATAAACTGTTGACAGAGGTGAGAGTTTGGACCAGTCACAAGAATGTCATCAACATACACTAGGACAATAACCAAATGAGGACCATTGAGAACAAACAAAGATGCATCAGAGGATGATTGATTGAATCCAAGAGAATGAAGGGCTTGATAGAGTTTGTCAAACCAGGCTCGGGGGGCTTGTTTTAGTCCATATAACGATTTTCTCAACTTACAAACATGACTAGGAGAAGTAGGATCAACAAATCCTGGAGGTTGTTGCATGTAGACATCCTCCTTTAAGTCCCCATGAAGAAAAGGATTGCTTATATCCAATTGATTGAGAAACCAATTATATTGGACAGCAAGAGTAAGGAGGATGCGAATTGTAACCGGCTTTGCAACCGGACTAAAGGTCTCTTGGAAGTCAATACCCTCTTGTTGATGAAAACCCAACTACAAGGCGAGCTTTGTACCTATCAATAGTACCATCAGCCTTTTTCTTAACTCAAAACACCCACTTACAGCCAACTAAATTTTGAGAAGGATGAGAGGGGATGAGTGACCAAGTACCAGTAGATATCAAGGCATTGTATTCATCTTGCATGGCTGCTCGCCAGTGAGCATGCTTAGAAGCTTGCAAGTAAGTACTGGGAACATAATCAAGATCAACAGGAAGAGGATGTTTGGTTGCTGCATAAACCTGAGACTTAGATTTACATATGCCAGCCTTGGATCTTGTAATCATGGGATGAGAATTAATGGGGATAGGAGGATGACTTGGCAAACTGTGTGGCAAAGGTGAGGGTTGATAGGAGCATATTTATGCGCCTTAGTTAGCTAGTTCTTATGCATTTTCGTTATGTTTTCTTCGTTAAAGTAGTCTTTTAAGCTACTTTCATGTGTTTTCAGGTTAAAGGACGTATTACATGAAATGATGCAAGTTGGAGCTTTTGGAGCAAGAAAGTGAGCTTGGATTGAAAAGGACATGCTTGGAACACAAGGTTGGGATGGAATTGAAGAGTTGAAGATTTGAGGTTTCCTACTTGATGTAGGAAAGCTAAGCCTAAAAGTTTCCATTTTGGGTTGATCTTTCCTAAACCGGAATTGGCAACCAAAGTTTCTAAAAGTTGGAATTTTCTATCTTGGAGGTTTCCATTTTCGTGAGTTTCTATTCTTGGCTTTGGGCTTTTAGACGACCTAAACCCGAACTCCTTGTGGACCCTAAGCCTATGCCGCACCTTTCCATTCTAGAAGGCCTTTTTACAAACCCTAGCCTAGCCCACTTATGCCGAACCCTGGGTATAGTCACTTATGATTTAAAAAAAAAAACTAATTAAAAAAACTTGAAAACTTTGAGTTTTAACGATAAGGACAAAATAAAGGGTAAAATGAATAGTAGCAGGATTGATTTTTTAGTGTAAAAATATGATTTTTCGTTAAAATAAACAGTACCGGAAATTTTTCGTTAAAATTCCCTTTAAAAAAATTGCATCATTGATCTCCAACGACTAATTAATCTTGAATAGTAAATTTGACTTTAAAAATTTATCACTTGACAATTTGAAAGAGTAAGCTGTTGAATTCTTGAAAAACATAACAAAAAAGCAGCAGGACTCCGTTATTTTTTATATTGTAATTTGACATCTTCTCTTTTCTCTCTCTATCATATGTTTCCCCTTTAGTTTATAAGTATCACATTTATGAGTTTAATATATTAAATCCATAGTATCACAAAATTTTTGGCTCACTATAGGAGTTTGATTTCTAGATGAGTGTAATATATTGATATCACACCTACTTTTTTTGACAAATCGTAAAAGGCCTTATGAACACTTTAAAATGTTATCTTGCACTCATCCATGCACAATTTTAATAACGTTGGAACCATCTTCTTTTTCTTGGTAAATAATGGTGATTAAGATTTGGAAGACAACTTTATTATTCTTAAAAGTGAAGTGAAGAAACTTCTATTAGTGTGGGTCTTAACTCTTTTAATAAGTGGATTAGTAGTCATGCATGACGCTGTCCTTTTAACGTTTGACTTGGTCGGCAGACCGCCATTAAGCCTTTTTATTTATTAATTAATCGACTTCGTAACGTACCACTCCAATTTATTAGTCTTTTTACTGGTTAACAAGAAGAAGAAGAAGAAGATGTTTGTTAGTCTACATACATTTGCCCATACCAAACGCTTTGCCCAAAGTTTGTGGACAACAACCTTAATTCATACGATAGCAGACTAATTTATCTGTTTCAAGCACATTATTTTGTACTCTGGGACCCTGGTAGAAAAGAAAAACCAAACTATAATACCAAAAATTAAAAAAAATGAGCATTGTTTCAGCTAATTGATCACAGTAATCTTTTTACCGTTTTAACACAAGAGTTTAAATAATATATAGAATATAGTAGTTTAAAATATTGCAAAACTTGTACTTGTCCATCGATTTTAGTTATTAGAAAAGACAAAAAAAAAAGGGACTAAACCCTGGTAGAAAAGAAAAACCAAACTATAATACCAAAAAATAAAAATTATGAGCATTGTTTCAGCTAATTGATCACAATAATCTTTCTGCCATTTTAACACAAGAGTTTAAATAATATATAGAATATAGTAGTTTAAAATATTGCAAAACTTGTACTTGTCCATCGATTTTAGTTATTAGAAAAGACTAAAAAAAAAGGGACTAACCCTGGTAGAAAAGAAAAACCAAACTATAATACCGAAAAATAAAAAATATGAGCATTGTTTCAGCTAATTGATCATAGTAATCTTTTTGCCGTTTTAACACAAGAATTTAAATAATATATAGAATATAGTAGTTTAAAATATTGCATAACCTGTACTTGTCCATCGATTTTAGTTATTAGAAAAGACAAAAAAGGAAAAAGAAAAAAGGATTAACATGCTACAATATTCTAGTATTGTGATCCTAATCATACTTTGTTTGATTTGAAATGAGGAAACTATGTTCTTCTTGGAAACATAAAATTGGTAAAAATCCCGTTTTATTTTGTATATTTATAGGGTTTATCAACACATCAACATCGTTTGTTGCAATACTTCCCATGCCTCACCAAAATTCTCTGGTCCTTTGGTTGATTAAAAGTTTCAGGGCAGTTGAAGCTTAACTGTAACAAGTAATAAGACTTATTAATGAAATATTCTGGAGAATGGACCAACTTTACTACCGTCAATCGCTCACATGAGCGTAGATGAAAACTGACCCGAGCATGCGTAGATGAAATTTGACCATTTGATGCATTAGCATACCTGTTGGAACACATGGAATGTCAACAGAGTCCATCAGAAAACTCTATTCTACGATGCATGTCCAGTCGATGATGACCGGAGATGCCAAGGATAATAAGCATCAAAGTCCGATAAGAAAATGGCGTACACGATGCTCCTTTGATTGTGTTACACTTCAGTCCTATTTTCTTCTTTTGACTTTTGAATGTGTTTCGAATAGAAAAATCATGAGTAAATTGTAAGATTATGAGTATGAAACATATACAAGAACTGGTTGTAGTGTTTGAGATTGATATGGAAAAGTCTTGGTTAAAATTGTTTAGGTTGTCCTTATTGTTTTAGGATAGCAGAGTTGAGAGAAGTTCCAATTGGTTTTAGAAAAGAACTTAGTGTTGGAACTTCACAAGGTCTCGTAATTCTTTATGGTTTGTATGAGCTTGAATCTCAGTCCAATTCTGATAGGGAATGGACAAAGGAGCACTATATATTTATGGTTCAAACCACTGCTCTTGTGATACTAGCTTATGTTGTTCTAAGTCCTATTGATTAGAGAAGCTATTGTGATCGTAAAAGAGGATGGCAATCCACATGGATGGGTCTCAAGCATTGATGGATAATTTGTTTCGTTGATTTGGAGCCAAGGAATTGCAATCAGGTTGACGAATATGGGTCCAATGATGCATTCAGGTAACTCACTTCACTATTTCCTGCATGATTAATTGTTCTCCTATATGCATGGTTATAGTGCGATGAGTTGGAGCATAATGAATTAGGGTTTTTGCTATTTTGAGTATGCTTATTTATTTAAATATATTGTGAAGGCATGATTAAACTTGAAATCCCTATAGATGCCAACTTGTGATTTATGTGAGATGTCTGGAATCATCCTTTGCTGCATAAATAAATTAGTGTAGGTCTAGATATACTTTTTTTTTTCCATTAAAGAGTCTATGTGTATGCTAGTAGTATGCACCGTCATCATTATAAGAGCATATCTTGCAAAGTAATTCTTAATATTTCCTTGATCCTCTTAATTCTTTGCAAGATTTACCTTAAAAATTCGACTGCATGTTAAAAAAAAACAGTATCTGATCGCTATCAATTTAGTTGTTGGACTTTAAATGTGGAAGGTTTAAGTAGACGGAATACAAGATATGCTTGTTTGGGTTGGAATTAATAGAATTGACTGCATATCACGTATTCTTTATACGGTGAAAATCTGTGATATTAATTTTCTTCAAATATGAAAGCTTGTGTGGGTGCTATGGAGCAACACATACAGATGAATATATAAGGTAGATGTTTTATTGACCGCCTACAATGACTCTTGCGACAATAAACTTTTAGCCATTTACAAAATGTATATTCTATTATGAATCGGAAAAACAAATAATTATTTTGTCATATTATTATAAACTCATAAGAATAAAGATATGTGGCTGTCATTATTTTCTCCAATGACTTGCTTATGAATATGTATATAATTGATGATGGTGTTGACAATGAATTAAAGGTATGAAGATTTTTAATTTGGATTATTGTCAACTTATGTTATCATGCATAAATCTTAGGATTAATAGACTTGTTATTGTCTATGGTCCGTTTATTCTATTGTGAAAATCATGGAGTTTAAGATGCATGCTTATTGTATATGTATATTTGTGATTTCATTTATGATGCATGCTTCCACTATTATGTTTTGGTTGAAATCACATATAGGGAGGAAGATGAACTTTGAGTTCTCCAGAAGAAATAGTGGTCTCGATTATCTCGTTTTAATCAAGACATTGTTGTGATATATCTCCAGACATTATCAAGATTTGGTTGATCTTGTTCGATGGATATTGAACTAGTTAGGATCAAATTGAATGCAAAAATATTGTGCTTGCTATTCTGATTTTGATCGTTGTTGAAATTGGTGATTTTGGGTTTATATGAGATAAGTTTTTTTGAATGGATTGTGATTATCTTTTGATACATAGACTGTTTGCATAATGGTTTAGGTGTATATGACTAAATTGAGATTATGCAATTGGTGAGGAATTGGGAACCAATTGGTTCATATCTCCTGTTTCTTTATTGGCTGTGCAATACATTCTGCTTATGCTTACGTGGGAGAATCATATGTTCGAATGTAAGCATAAGGCTAAGAGTATTTAGGCCGGCCATTATAATTCATTTGGATGCTTAAAAACCAGTTTATGGTTTTATTGAAGCAATTGGTTGAATTATTTGTGTTACTTAATTTGTTTAAGTAATGAGAAGGATCCTATTATGTTAGCATTCAAAAGGAAATGAATTTGGTTTCCATATGGATTCTGATTAGTCATTCATTGTATTGGAATGATTTTTAGATAATATAGTTGCTATTAACTTGTACTTAACTTGGTTGTGTTAAGTATGACCTAGATAAGTGGGAGCAAATTGGTTTGGTTTTGCTAGCTATACTGGTTCACATAATTACAAAGTGCAAATTAAGTATGTTGTGACTTTTGAGTTAATTCTGCAACGTAATAGAAAATATTCTTAAGTTCAATACTTTAAAATGCATAGGTAAGTTGTATGTGAGGTTAAGCTTTTGTCATCCAAAAGATTTGGTGATCACTTATATGATTATGGCTGTAGTTTGTTATAGAGCTTGTATGGTTGCTCTTAAGG